GTCCTCGCGCGCCTCCTTCACCAGCCGCTCGTGCTGCTGCTCGATGAAGAGCGTGCGGCTCGTCTTCTCCTTGGGGACGGCGGGTATGGGCACGTAGCCGCGACGCGGCGTGAAGGCCGCGGACGGCGCGTGCGTGGGAGATTGCGCGGGGCCATCGAAGGCGAAGTAACCGCGACGCGGCGTGAAGGCCATGGTCGTGTGTGCTTGGGAGTTTGAGCTGCCCCATGTTTCCAGGCTTTCTCGGCCACGAGCGCTTCGGAAGATTTTCAAACTTCAATAAAGCGCTTTTTAGCGCGCGGGGCAAGCATGCGGGCCCTCTATGCGTTCTTCGCGTCGGCCCTCGCCTCGACGTGCTCGTCGTCGAAGCAGCCCAACGTCGTCTACATCGTGACGCCCGCCCGCGTCCGAACCCTCGAGCGCGCGAGACGCGCCGCCGACAGGTCACGGACGACCAGGACCAGATGCTGGGCTCGAGCTTCCCCACCGTCGGCGGCGCCACGCCCCTCCCGAAGACGAAGCGGCTCCTCGTCGACGAGGGCGCGACCTTCACCAACGCCTTCATCCACGTGCCCATCTGCAACCCCTCCCGCTCCACGACGCTCACGGGCCGCTACTTCCACAACCTGCGGACGACGAACACGTCCTGGGCCGCCATGCACGTGAACATGGACGCCGTGCACAACCGGAGCTTCGGCCTCGTCTTCCAGCGCGCGGGCTACGCGACGGCGCTCCTGGGCAAGTACGTCAACGCCATGCCGGAGGGCTACGTGCCCCAGGGCTGGTCCGCGTATTTGGCGAACGGCGGCGGTGACTACTTCGGCCCCGAGTTCGTCGCGAGGAACGCGCCGGGCATCCCAGACGGCGCCTACGCGGCGCCCAAGGACGCCTACACGGTGTCCGTCGTCGGCAACGCGTCCGTGGCCTTCCTCGAGAGGCACCTGTCCAAGTCGGAGCCCGTGCTGCTCTACTGCGCGCCCAAGGCCGTCCACGAGCCCTTCAACCCGCCGCCCTGGTACGCGGACCATTGGGACCCGAGCTGGCCGGCGAAACCCGTGCGCGGGCCCGCCTGGAACGCGACGTTCGACGCGCGAAGGCGCCACGCGGCGAACGTCCCGACGCAGCCGATGATCACGGCCGCGGCC